TGTGTGTGTGTGTGTGTGTGTGTGTGTGTGTGTGTGTGTGTGTGTGTGTGTGTGTGAATCTGAAAATATAAATGAATCCACAGAAGACCTTGTGCATGAATGTTCATAGTAGCCAAAAGTGAAAACAACCCAAATGCTCCATGACTGATGGATGGGTAAACAAAATGTGATATCTCCATACAATGAAGTGTTATTTGGCCGTAAAAATGAATGAAGTTCTGATACATGCGACAACATAAATGAGCCTTGAAAACATAGGCTTGAAAGAGAGAGGGGTTGCGGGGGAAAAAGAACAGATGCAAAAGACTGCCTATTGTACGTTCCATTTATATCAAATATCTGAAAGAGAATAGAGATTAGTGATTTCCAGGGGATAGAGGAGAGGGAAAGGTAATAACTATTAATGGGTACAGATTTGGGATGATGAAAATTTTCTGAAATTAGACATTGGCAGTAGTTGCTTTAACTCTGAATATACTAAAAAACACTCAGTTGTACACTTTAAAAGGATGAATTTTATGATATATGAATTATATCTCAGTAAAGTGTGTTTTTAAAAAATTTGAACCTGAAAATTTTAAAAAGGTGTTGTTTGATAGTCAGTTCACATTTCTTTCAAAGCATTTCCTGTAATTTTATCTTTTTTTGCTGTTTAATGTTCACTGTGTTTGGTATTTTTACTTTGTTTCTTTAAGCAAGTTCTGTTTAAAATTTAGGTCATTTGAAGCTGTTGCCTTTAGAGTTTAGTCAGTAAGAATAGAGCAAAGGAAAATCAAGACATTCATCCTTGTCTGATGTTTTTTGCCTTGATAACACATGTAGTCATAATCTGTTTAGGCTTTTTCTTATGAGAAAAAATGTCTATGAATTACCTAGGAAGAGGAAGCATTAATGTAGAAAATTAATTTTATATCTTGTTTTCTGTCTAGTTATAGAAACATAAGCTTAAGAAAAAAATAATATATAAATTATGCCCTTTCAGAAACTTCTAAGAGGTAGAAGTTTAACAACTTTTATCTTCCCATGTGAGGTATTAAATTATAATGTTGGTACACTGCTGGTGGGAATGCAGACTGGTGTAGCCACTATGTAAAACAGTGTGGAATTTCCTCAAAAAATTAAATATGGAACTGCCATTTGACCCAGTGATCCCACTTCGAGGAATATATCCTAAGAAACCTGAGGCATCAATCAGAAAGAATTTATGCACCTCTGTGTTCATAGCATTTACAATAGCTAAGATCTGGAAATAGCCCAAGTGCCCAGCAATAGATGAGTAGATAAAAAAGCTGTGGGATACTCTGCATCTGTAAAAAAGAAGGATCTTTTACCCTTTGGGACAGTATGGATGGACCTGGAGAGTATTATGCTAAGTGAAATAAACCAGTCAGAGAAAGATAAGTATCACATGATCTCACTCATGTGGAACATAATGAACAAAATAAGCTGATGAACAAAATAGATCCGGAAACATAGAAGCATGGAACAGACTGCTGAATTTCAGAGGGAAGGTGGGATAGGGGAGTGGGTGTATATATGCATAACCCATGGACACAGACAGTAGTGTAGAGAGGGCCTGAGGGCAGGGCAGATGCAGAAAAAAGGGAGACATCTGTAATACTTTGAACAATAAAGATAAATTTAAAAAATAAATTATAATGTTCATTTTTAATAAATAATTTATCGTTACAGATAGATTTGACCAGTTTTGGGCCATCAATCGGAAACTCATGGAATATCCTGCAGAAGAAAATGGATTTCGTTACATCCCTTTTAGAATATATCAGGTAGGAAGTTACATTTTTAACAGTAACAACTTATGAAAGCCTAAGACATCTATCTTACTTCTTTTTTTTCTTTCTTTTTTTTTTTAATATATCTTTATTGATTTCAGAGAGAGGAAAGGGGAGGGAGAGAGAGAGATAGAAACATCAACGACGAGAGAGTCATTGATCAAGTCCGCAACCTGGGCATGTACCCTGACCGGGAATCGAACCCCGATCGCCTGGATCCTAGGTCGACGCTCAACCGCTGAGCCACGCCCGGCCAGGCTATCTTACTTCTTGAAGTACTCTAGTCCAAAACTCTTTAAGTTTGCATAGTAACATAGTAGTATTTCTTAGGGCTTTCCAGATTTCTCTCTTTTGGTGCAAATGAGAGACTGCACTGAAATATTTGACTCATACTCAGTTGAACCTCATTATCGACAGATTCTGTATTTGCAGATTTTCCTGCTTGCTAAAATTCACTTGTAACCCCAAAGCCAGCACTCAACAGTGCTTTCCTGGACATGTGCAGAGGGACGAAAAATTTGATTTGCCCAATACGTACATTCTCAGCATTGCTGTGACTTGTTTCTGCTCTCTTACTGTGAACCAGTGACTTTTTCCTCTCTATTTAGTGCCACATTTTGTGCTTTTTGTTGGTGATTTTGATCCTTAAAAAAGCTCCCAAGCATAGTGCTGAAGTGCTGTCTTTATACAGAAACACACATAAAACAAAGTGATATATTGATCAGTTGAAGAACATGTGACCAGAGGTTTGCAGTAACCCAACTCTATACCCCCCCTAGGAGCAATGGTTCAGTATTGCTAATTCAGTGTTTGTGGTGACTATAAATAACTACCACACATAAGAAGAATCGAGTGTGTTTTAGAAGCTGGGTCTTCATTGTTGTGCAAAAAAATAGATGGTGGGAGCTCTTTGCAGCAGCACACTTTCATGAGGTCAGGAAACTCCGTGTTTCTGTAGAGTACTTTGAAACTCCTATATGTTTGCCATGTAGCAAATAGTAAATATTTGTTGAGTGAATGGTATTGCAGAAAGCAAGTTACCTATATGAAAAAGCAGTTAAGAATAGAAATTGGAAACATAATATTAAAGACATAGACTCTAATCTGGCAAAACTTCCATTCAGACTCAAAGACGAAGTGTCATAACTTCTCTTTGTAGCCATTTTCAGTATCCCACAGTCTTTATTCATAGTTACTTTGATAGCTCGTCTTAAATCTTTTATAGAGCCATTATGTAACTGTGTGTTCAAAGAGGAAACAAATTGTCTAATTGAAAACAAGTAAACAAAAATCCCAATATACTCAAAGAATGAAAAATATTTCTGACTTAAATAAGGTTACTTTTCATTGATTTTATTAACATAATGACAAACTATTTTTTAGATCATAGATTCATAATATGTACAATAGGAATAAAATGAGGAAAATGCTCAGTGGAATAAGACCAGATTATCTAATTAGCCACACTCCTCGGCTTCCTTTTTTTAAATAGGAAAGTAAAATTTTAATTCTGTAAGTCTTTGTTAAGCAATTATTACAGTGGGTTTGGAAATACCATAGTTTATTGTTTATACTTTATCTTATATCATGAAGAATTCTGAGGCAATGTACAAGAGTATATAATCACAAAATATAAAAAAATTAAAATTTAAAATCAAAGCTACTGAAATATAAAATGGAAACTCAGCGTGAAATTACATAAGTTTTTAATAAGTGAGACCCTCAAATTTATTAAAATTGACCTGCAAATTTGACCTGGAGCTTTTTTCTAACCAGAGCAAGGGGGGAAAATGTGATGAGGTATAATTTTTCCCCCCAATAAAGTGAAAACTTTATTGTCAGGGAAAGCTAAACTTTCTTGGGTGTTAACAGTTACATAGGAAAGAAATTTTATTTAGAGGAATCGGGGCAATATATCATAAGCCATTGATCATCCACAGTATAATACAGAATTGGTGAAGTAATGAGAAGGCTAAGACAGAAAGGATTTTTAGGTTATTTTATGGAAGAATGTGTCTGTCAAATAAGAAGGAAAATAATTGATGGAGCATGGCAGTTGAGGAGTGGAATTAACTAGTAAAGGTTAACCCAGCAGAGGAGAGGACTGCAGAGAACTGTTAAGGAAAAGGAGGGGAAAATTTGTTGCTGCTCATATGGGAAAGTCTCAGTCTTTTCTGTACAGCAAGGAATAAAGCCATCTTCTGAGAAGAGGGGTTAACAGTTTTGGCAACTGGTCTGTTCCAAATTGGCCAAATAGTACAGTTCCAATATTTGCTTTAAAAAAATTTGAGAAAGACTGCAGGACGCCTAGTCGTTTATATTGAGAGAAGAAATATCTCACATTAGATGAATCTGTATTCACCACCTTGACATTCCTTAAAAGGAGCTTTAGGAGTATTTTTACAGAACTGGATTTAGTAGTGATATGCTTAGTTATTCCACAGAGAAAAGCCAAAATAGAGTGAGATTTTATGGACTGAGTATAATATGTAGAGTGGGTAAGATTCTTCATAGGGATTTATTTCTTTACCATCACTGACATAAATACTGATGATTAAAATATGAATTAAAAACAATAATAGGTTATCATAGAATTTTAGAGCAGTCCTTAACTTTTCTGAATGGTTTTCAATATTTTTTTAAGCAGCAGCCCACTTTGGTTCTCAGCTTAGAAGGGGTGGGTGGCCCGGCCAGATGGCTCAGTTGGTTGGAGCATCGTCCCATACACCAAAAAGGTCCTGGGTTCAATTCCTGGTTGGGAAACATACTAGGTTGTGGTTTCAATCCCTGGTTGGGACGTACGTGGAAGGCAACCGATTGTTTCTCTCTCGCATCAATGTCTCCTTCCAAATCAATAAACATATCCTTGGGTGGGGATTAAAAAAAAAGGGGTGGGGTGAGGTAGGTGGATGGGGACCAGTGGAGTTGACTGAGGCCGCTAGACACTCCTTCTGTGGCCAAAAGTTGTAGCATCAGATATTTATGGAAATTTTGAAGCACAGTGTGAAAATTACCTCTTTCTCTAGGCCTATACAGGTTCAGTGTTTTGCCCAAGTTAGATAGTTCTTGATCTAGTTAGCACCCATGCAGTAATAGCCTCAACATGCCAGTAATAGCTTTGATGTAAGGTCCGATGTTTTTTGTTTAAATCTATGTAGTATGGCCCTGGCTGGTGTTGGTCCGTTGGTTGGGCGACCTCCCATGCACCAAAAGGTTGCTGGTTTGATTCCTGATCAGGGCACATGTCCATGTTGCTTGGCTCAATTCCCTGTGGGGGTCATGCAGGAGGCAGCTGATACATGTTTCTTTCTCACATCGATGTTTCTCTCTCTCCCTCTCCCTTCTTCTCTCGCTCTAAAAAACAATTTTTTAAAAAATCTTAAAAAAAATCTATGTAGGATTTAGCACAGGGTTTTACACTGTAAGTGCTTCATAAGTAGTTATTTAATTTAATCCTGGGGCATTAAAAGCCTCAAGGATCACATAATTTTAGAGCTGAAAAGGACATTGTCGTTCAAATAATTCAAACCTGGAAAAGCTAGCAGAGTTTCCTTGATTTTAGATGTATGGTGGTTTTTAACAAGGGCAGTGCTGTTGTAGCAGTTGAAGAACACAAAACACTTTTAAAATTAACTGAAATTATGGGAGAAGAGTAGGAACAAGCGGGAAAGAGCTGTTGGAAGGGTTGCATAGAATACAGTGTATGGCCAAGATCATGGTTTTGCCTTACTTGCTTAGTAGAAAATTATTTTGACCACCTTTTGCTTCACTTTCCTAGTCTGATGATTTGTCCCTACATGCAAACCTCACTGAGCTCAGAAAGTTGTAAAATATTTGAGACAAAAAGGATAAAGCTATTGACCTTGAAAGAAAAAGCTGTTTTCTAGAAAGAGCACTGAACTGGAAGGCAGACCTCTCAGGCTCTGCGGGAGGCCTGACACTGACACCTGCGCCTCCATAGGAGGTTCCTCAGCCTCCCTGGGCCTCTGTTTCCTCATCCTGAAAATGAAAGGGGCGTGACTGAGTGAATTCATACACCTGGTTGCAGTTGTTCTTTCAAGAAGCCATGTGATTGGCTTATGTAATTATACGAGTGAAGCTCTTATTTTCTAAAACATTTAAACTCCTGGCTTCAGAGCAGGTTGATCATTTTTACAACAGTCCTTTTCTTTATGGCACGGTTTGACTCAACTCCTGTGGTGCCGTATGACTTTTAATCACTTCTAAAAGTGAAATTTATACTTTTCAGGTGGTTCATCTTTTTATGAAGGCAGAGCATTTGTTTTGTTGATGCTGTCTGTCCAGGCTCTAAAAAGTGCCTGGCATGTCGTAGGTATTTGTGAATATTTGTTAATTCATTAAATTTGTTCATCAGTAATTAGTAGTTGATTTGGGGCTGTTCTGTTTTCCATGACCTCCATAATAATGTGCCATAATACATTCCCAGGGTTTAGCAAAGCATCTTATTTGTGGAATAGTTGAATAAAATATATGAGACTCTGAAGAATCCCCAAAAGAAGAGTTCCAAAACTAATTTGAGATGTATACCTCCCAGCATTTATTTATGCTGGCATGTATATTTAACTATACTGTGCTTTCTGTATTGTAAATACTTTAAGCACCTATAGGGAAAATGTGTTATGCAATTACTTAACACAGGGATTATTATTAGAATAATAGTGCAGATGTACAGAATGGAGGTCTTTCTTTTCACATTTATCATTCTTTTCTGGGGAAAATTGTCATCTGTATCATACCTCTTACTGGTGTCATAACAGAGGATTTAGAGAGAAAGAATGTGAGAGAGAGGGAGGGGGAGAGAAAGAGAGAATGAATATGAGAAAGAGAATGGTTTTCATAAAGTTCTATAATTAGATAGAAAGTAGGGAGCTAAAGAATTCTCAAAATTTGCTTGACAAAACGTGGCTGCCAGGTGGGACCTCTGTTAGGGCAGAGCTTGCTGCCTGATCTCTCCTGTGTCAAGATAGTATTTT